AACAACATCTATGAGAGTAAAAAAACAAAAAAGCCTGCTCGCCTAAGGTTATGGTTGATTGCTCTTCGGCTGGATATCGACACACCCATTAACGTAAACTATGCCAGAGCGCGTAGCTGCGTACACACCTCCGGTGCGCGCGCCCAAAGCAGTTGGACATAGTGCTGTATTAGAGGTAAAATATGATATAAATACTGTTTGGTTTCTGGCACAAACTGATCGTTTCGTGTCTTAGGACATCAATGTGTCGTCACGAGCCGCAGGGTTTAATTTGGATTTGTCTGTGCATGTTTTTTTTACTCTCATAGATTTTGTTACCATTGCCATGCATTATACAACTGACAGACTGCAACGGTTAAAGTTAAAAATCATCAAATGTGTTCTACTGAAGACACAAAGTCACCTACATCTTGGATGCCCTGGGGCTAAGCAGATAAACATCAAATTTTACATTTTTGGGTGAACTATCCCTTTAAGCCAGAAAAAACTAAAGATGGTTTATTGATAAACCCTGAAGCTCTGCTGCTGGTGTCTCCAGGGAGCTGATGGATGGATGTTAATCAGGCATCTTGAAAGAGTTTAGACCTTTTAACAGAATATTTCTCACAACAAACTGACTTATTTTCAAGTCATTCTGAATGAGAATTGAATGTAGTCTTCAAGTTGTACAGTATTGATGACTGTTATAGTGCTTTTACGTTCTTATTGGAGTACCCAACTCTCTTTGTGGGAAAGAACAAATAGGGCACTAAGGTGAAGTTTTGTTGAAATTGTGAGAAGAATTTATTTTCGTATCACTGAGATATTATTATAGTTTTTGTAAAAATGTTTAATCAGTTTTTATTTAATTTATTGTCCCTTTTCATTTTAATTTTAGTTTAAATATTAGTAATTTCGTCATGTTTTTGTGATTTATTTATATAGTTTATATACATTTTTCTTTCAGTTTTAGTGCATCACCTTAAAAAGCACGTTCTAACTGCTTTTGTATAGTTTTAATAATCAGTTTATTTGTAAGGAATACACTACAGTGATTTTCACATTTGATTACTATTTGTTTTTCTTATTTGAATGCTTCTGTTTAGATGTAAGATGAAAAAAGCAATGCATTATTTAATTTGTTTCTTTCTAATATTATATTTGTTCTACTGTTTATTTGCATCGTTGTTCTAATTTTTAATAAAAAAGGGGGGGAAATAGCTATATTTATTGTGATTATTAATATAGTAATTATTAATAAGAAAAGAAGTGGAGGAAAAGATGCAACGTTGCTCGGTGATTTTACTTTGGAACCTTCAGAAAACTTTAACTCAATTTTTTATTTTTTTATTTACTTTGCTGAATCGACTTCAAACGGGTGTAACAACGTAATTGTTTGGTTGATTCCAACAAATCATGCATCATTTTGAAGGTTTTTCTCATTTTGCCAGCAAAGGTCACATATAGGTCACATATAGTATATTTGTAGTTATGGAAAATATCAGCAGAGCAAGTACAAATCCTATTGTTTGTTGATGAAATGCCTGACTTGAAGAAGTAAAATGATTTACAACCAGCATTTCTTGTTGACATTTACAGTCTGTCCCAATCATAATTGATTATAAGCTCTGTTTGTTCTCTTTGGTTCATCAGTGGAATGCCATTGGGCTCTGTGTGTGTGTTTATCAGCACTTTCTCTCAGTAGACAGACTGATTCCTGTAGTGACTGAGAGCCCTGGAAGTCTCTTAGAATTACATCATCTGTAATCTACCAAGGATTACTCGAGACTTCTGTTGTGAGATTAGCTGTTACAGACGGAATGAGGATGTGCTTCTCACACCAGCACTGATCTGGGATCAGATGTGTCGATATGCATTGCATTTGGTGACAGATCAGCCAGTAAAAGCATGTAAGACAGTGGGTTTTGTTGGCTTAGTTAACATGACATTATATCCTTTTTTGCTCGTGAATGTTCCACCTTTTTCCACTATTTACTTCTATCTCAGCTCATGAGTTTTTGTGATGATGAGATTTAACAGAATTAATATTGATCTATATGCTTATTTGTGTGTTTTAGATTTGATCCACAACTGTTTTAATGGCTGCACAATGAAGGCCCAACTTCAGATAACAGGTGAGCTGATAATCTCTATTTTATGTTTTTGCATGTGTTGACTATTTTTGTTTGCACTCGTTGCAATGTAGCCCCAAGATTTTGTTGTCATGTCAACAGATTAATACTTTTAATAGATCTGTGATTATAGTTGTCGTCTTTTATCAGTTCTGTCCGCTAAGCTGCGGGACAATAAGAAGAATTGGTTTGGGCCCAGTCCTTATGTTGAGGTGTGTGTGGACGGCCAGTCGAAGAAGACGGAGAAATGCACCAACACTCACAGTCCCAAATGGAAACAGTCTCTCACTGTGTAAGAATGAAACACGTACTGAAATAAGTTACAGAACAGATCCAGGATCAATATTTGTTATAATTATATTCTCTCTCTCTAGACTAGAAATTAATGTTATTCTGATAAATACTATATTAAAATGTAATGATTTTTTTGCCGTTATTCATTTACTTTTATAGTATTTATTAATACTTTGAATGAGATTATGTTTTGATATTTCATGTTAAGTTTTAATAAGTTTTGATAACTTTGTTTTGTATTTTGTCATTTATAAGATTTTTTAAATATTTATTTTAAACTTTTATTTCAGTTTTAGTAATTTTAGTATTCAACTTAAATTTAAAGCAATATTTCAGATTTTTTAATTGATATTTATTTGGGATGCTCCGATCAGGAATTTTGCAGCCAATACTGAGTACCGATTTCTTGTCATGGTGATCGACCAATGCCGATTCTGATACTTCAAGCTTTATATAGACGGTTTGATCGGGCGCAATGCGCCTGGCCCGAAGTTAACTTCCGGTCTGTGTTTGTTTATCAGTCTGGCTCCAGCTACAAACGCAGTTAAAGTTAAGGTGATAAGTAGACTGAAGTTGGGCTCAGGTGGTTGTGCTGTGGGATGTGTTTCCCATACATTTATTTATTTGTGGCGCTTGCCACAATATCAAAACTGACCGATTTTCCAAAAGGCTTCTTGAATAAACATGAGCACGTTAGGCTACACGTTTAAAAATCAAAACGAGGCGCTGGTGTTTTTATATCACTGTATTTCTGAAGGAAGACTATCTTTAGAAAATTTTCGATGCAATTTTCATTTAATCTTGCATGTTATATGCCTGATAAATGCCTGCTTTGAGTACAGCTGTTACCGGGGAAACCTCTGTTTCTCCTGCTTTAAAGCACCTCCTGCTGGCAGAGAATGAATTTGCATTTTCAGTAAGTCCGTCTGATTTATGCAGCAAACATATTTTGCTTTTCCTATATCTATGGGTGCCGGGGATAATCCGCGGGTCGAGTAATAAAAAATGCATTCTGATTATTTGCGGGTGGATAAAATAAATCAAAAAATTATGCAAATATTAATTACATTTTTTTTTAAATACATTTTTTTCATGAGGCAGACGATTTCGTGTGTCTGTGTGTGTGTGTGTGTGTGTGTGTGTGTTCGCCTGATCGGGAAGTTGCAGTGACCGAAACGGTGACATTCCATGTAAAGTTTGAAAGGAGTAAAGCCTGTGTTAATGCTATTGAGTAGGCTAATGTATGGCCAAAGAAGATATTTTGTTTTATAAATAAATGTTCATTTAAAAACAGCCCACGATCAGCGTGTTATGTTACCGTTATCCCTTACGGCTCCGACAAGGATTTATTCCGTCCTCCACGCTGTGATAACTCTCAAAAGACTATTTTAAGAGCCGCTTCAGAAACGTGCCACGGTTGGACGGTATACACAAGCATTAGAGCGGCTGCGATCAGCTCCGGTTCCCGTGGAGCCGTAACGCACCGCAGATGCGTGCAGTGAGGCGCAGATCAGCTCTAACGTCACGGAATCTGCTGTTAAAATTTAACCATTTAATCATGCAAAACATACACGACAAATAGCAAATTTTTAATTGTTTCTCGAAAGGTCATAGCATTTCCACCGGTGTGGCGCCAAATCATTTATGTCCCCATGCATCATGTACGTCGTCACACGTTGACGTCATCAAATTGCGATCGGTTCGTGAGATCGGCCAAGTGTAGTGAGTCCCGATCGAGTCATAAAATGTGATTATCGGCCAATACCGATCTCTGGTCGATCGATCGGAGCATCCCTAATATTTAGGTTTTATTTAAATGGTTTTCTTGTGTTTTTATAATAATTATTTTTAATTTATATTTATTTTAGTTTTAATAATTTTAGTATTTCAACTAGTGGTCGACCGATAATGGTTTTTTGACAGCCAATGCCGATATCTTAGAGAGCAGGGTGGCCGATATTAAGCCATAAAATTTTTTTTTTTATTTTCATTATAATTTTTATTTATTTTAATTAATGTTTAAGAAACTTGAAATCATTTGAAAATGAATTATATTAAAAATAAATTTGCTTATAAACATACTTATACTTTAGATGACAACTTCCTATTTCTATAATTCTATTACAGTATTTTTCACAAATAAAGAAATATTTTAAAATATATAAACAAAAAGAAAGTAAACACTGTAACCAACAGGGAACGCGGTAATCTGGGAAGTTTGTGTGCTTTGGGAATCATATTTTTTCAACTAAAGCCAAGGTAACACTCATTTTACATGCAGCACGCAGTAAAAACGACATGAATATGACAAATGCATAAATCAGCATAGTTTGAAATAACGAGTTTAAAGTTGATCAGAAAGCAATGAAGAGGGAGAATGTGAGCACTGTGTGCTCTGGCGCTGCCGTTCTCAGTGCCGTCAAAATAAAAGTCCCGCCTCGAACACATCGGCCAGGCAGAAAAACTTATCGGCCGATGCCGATATTTGAAAAATGCCAAATATCGGCCGATATATCGGCCTTGGCGATATATCGGTCGACCACTAATTTCAACTTAAATGTAAGGCAATATTTCAAATTTTATTTAATTTTTTAAAAAATTATATTTTATTTCAGCTTCAGTTTAATTATGTAAAATTGTCATTTTAATAGTTTTATTTTCGTGTAGCTGTAACAACGCTGCTCTGTTGATCATATTGCTTATAGGATCGTCACCCCTTTCAGCAAGTTAATTTTCCGGGTTTGGAGTCATCAGACACTTAAATCGGACATTTTGCTCAACTTAAATGTAAGGCAATATTTCTAATTTTATTTAATTTAAAAAAAAATTATATTTTATTTCAGCTTCAGTTTAATTATGTAAAATTGTCATTTTAATCGTTTTATTTTCATGTAGCTGTAACAACGCTGCTCTGTTGATCATATTGCTTATAGGATCGTCACCCCTTTCAGCAAGTTAATTTTCCGGGTTTGGAGTCATCAGACACTTAAATCGGACATTTTGCTGGGCATGGCCGCTCTGGAGGTCAGCGAGACCTTAAAAGCCAACAATATGAAGAGTGAGTTTCCATATTCTCCACTTGTGTGAATCTCATTCAGAGTCAGGCCTCTGTAGTGTGTGTTAAGAGCGTTTTGGGTTTTATTGCCTCTTTGTAATGGAGAAAGGCAGGCGAACGGACTCGTAGCACCAAAGAGAGTCTTTTCAGATACTTTACAGATACACTCACAGCTAATGTGAATTATAGAACTGCAGATTGAGTGAATGCAATCTTAAGTGTCACTGTGAGCTTGTTTACCTCGTGAAGCCAATTTAGCTTTCCAGCTCCGCTTCTATGAATATGCTTTAAAAGCTTACATTTATTTAATCAGCTTTCTATGGCTATTCTTGTGGTAAAACATGCTTGCAAACTGCAGTGATGCCTGATATGTGAGCAAATCATTCTTGCGAGTTGGTTCTTTTCAATGAATCTTTTAAATCTATTCATAACTCAGAATGAGTCGTTCATGAAATGTTTTGAAACAAGATGGTTTAAACATTTTTATTCAATATATCCGGGAAATGTCATGGAAATTCTCAGGATGCTGCTTTTACAGGCTGTTAAGATTCATCTTTCAGTTCTGTAAGTAGTGTTATTGTAAAGATTGTGTGTGTGTCTCAGTCAGTGAGGTGGTGCAGACGCTGCAGTTGAGTTCAGACCGAGAGCGTGCGGAGATGGTTGGAGATCTCTCCGTGTGTCTCGATGGACTGCAGGTGGATCCCGAGACATTTGCTTCTGAGGAACAAAAGCACAGTTGAGACCTTCTTTATCCCTACAAAACACACTCGGCTTGTTTTCAACGGCAGTTAATAGATTTAGATTCTTTGCTGTTTAAAATAAATATTTCCCACACGTGACATTGTGTATTGTTTCTCTTCAGTCACAGATGCTGTTGTAAATGGAGAATCCAAACTGAACGGGGATGTAGCAGGAAGGTAAAATAAAAATTGCTATGCTATTTCTGAGGGAATATTACCATAATATGTGTAGAAAGAGCTTGAATCTTTCTTCTTTACTTTTGTTTGTGTTCTTAGTGAAATTAGTTCTCCAGGGAAATATGTTGACTGCCTACTCTGACGTTTTATAGATCATAATGCATAGTTTATTGATACATAAAAGCTAAAAAACATTCCTTTTTATTTTATCTGCTCTTATATATTCTCATTATTTTTATTTAAAAAGACGATGCATAAAAGTTATGGCCAGATTATTAAATGTTAGCAGTTGAATTGTGGAGACATAAAACAAGAATGTTGTAGATTTTTTATTTTTTTAAATATTTCTATTTAGATTGAATTTATTTTTATTTAAGTTTTAATTTCGGTAATTTTATGTCAGCTGCTGTTATTGAATATTAGTTGTTAGCATTTGAATTTCTGTTTAACTAATTTATTTTATTTCAGTTTAATTCAGTTGTAATAAAACGCATTACAAATTATGGCCAGATTATTGAATGTTAGCAGATTAATTGTGGAATATAAAACTTCCATGTCATGCACATAAAACAGCAATGTTGTAGATGTTAAAAATTACATATTTTTTAAAAACTTTTTTTTTTTTTTGTATCTTAAATTTTTTTTTTCATTTCAGTTTAATGCAGTTTCAAAATAAAAGGTAGAAAAAATGATGGCCAGATTACTGAATATTAATAGCTGAATTATGGAATATAAAAATGCATTGTCATGCACAAATAGCAGGAATGTTTTTGTAAAATTATTTATTTAGCTATAATTCATTCTTATTTAAATTTACTTAATTTTAATCGGATGCATACAAATTATGGCCAGATTTTTGAATGTTAGCAGTTCAATTATGGAATATAAAGCTTATATGTCATCATGCACAGAAAACATACATTTTCTTGATGTTAAAAAATCTGTATATTTTTAGCTATTGTCTAAGTTGAAAATCACCAGTCACCTGGACGTTTGTGTCTGTTTGCTGTTGGTCTAGTCGAGATTCTTCCCCATCCAGTGACATCGCTGATGAAGCGCCGCTGCCCAACGCTCATGCAGTGGAAAATACGGGGTCTGTCTCTCCATCCGCAGGGGCTCTGAGGCCACCTCGACCCCAGCGGCCGCCACCCGCCTCACCGCATAAACCTATGTCCTCCACAGGTAGGAACATTACCAGAGGACTCTCATCCTGCATTTTCATAGCATTTGAGTTTGGATTTAAGGCTTCTTTGGCTGCATTTACACTGCAAGTCTTAACGCACAGATCTGATCTTTTGACCATATCCAATTATTTGGTCCGCCTGTTTACAGTAGGGGTTTACTTCTCCATGCGATACGAGAATCGATATCTGGCACCAAATATCGATATTTTACTACAATATATTACTACAATAAGGCACACTATATACATTTCCCTGCTCCCAGCATCTAAAAAATGCATGGAAATTGCGGCCGCGCCATTTCCACCTCCTTTCCTAAGCGCTCTGAGCAACCATGAACCGTGCTCTCTATGAAGATGGGGAAGCACGAGGAACCGAAGGATAAAGGATTTCCAGCCACTGTATTAGCTCTACTGCTATATATATGTTTATGGAGATGAGAACTAAAAAAACTGCCCCGGAACAGCTATCAGCGTGGACTGTAGGCATCGATCACGTTATTATTGCAGAGCGCATATCGAGTCTGTGAGTAGCCTAACCTCTCCGCTCGGATCGCAGGTGGATTTCCCTCACTATTTGAGTGAGAGAGAGTGTCCCCGGTCGTCCAGTTTTATGTCAACAATACTGGATGCTCTCCCTCTCTCCCAGGTATTGCAAGTGCGCGTTACGTTGGCAGTGGGCACCGAACGGCAGAAATATAAATCTGCACCTATGGCATGGACGATGAAACAACCTCGTCAGAGCCGTAATGCGGCACAGAAGTCGGGAAGTCGTGGCCTAATGGTTAGAGAGTCGGACTCATAACCCAAAGGTTGTGGGTTCGAGTCTCGTACCGGCAAGGATTGTAGGTGGGGGGAGTGAATGTACAGCACTCTTTCCCACCTTCAATACCACGACTGAGGTGCCCTTGAGCAAGGCACCAAAGCCCCCAAACCCCGGGCCCCGCAGCAAAAAAATGGCTGCCCACTGCTCCGTGTGTGTGTTCACGGTTTGTGTGTGTTCACTGCTGTGTGTGTGCACTTTGGATGGGTAAATGCAGAGCACTAATTCCGAGTATGGGTCACCATACTTGGCCACATGTCACGTCACTTTCACTTTCAGAAGTGTGTAGTGTGTTTGCTTGCCGCGTGTCTACATTTGAAATAACGAACCCGAGCGCGCAAAAGACGCGATGTGAATGGCTTTTTTCCCCCCTGCATGTCGTGTGTGGGGCTCCGTTTTTATGATGAGCGGAGAGGAAAGGTTGAGAAAGCACTCCAGGTAAATTTTGAAATGTACAAGGTTTATATATAGGCTATATATAAAGTTGATAAGCAGTTAAATGTGTTGGTTTACAGAAAAGTGTAAGCTTTTAATAAGTCCAAGAATAAAATGATTAATTTCCTTAGCATGTTACATTTGATCTACAGAACTTTTGTGTTGTTTTCTAACAGTTTGGACTTGAATAAAGAGAGAAAACTTGCACTTAACCTTTTCACAGGCATTTTGTTTTCATAGTTATAGTGATGTATCATTATAGAATTGTCTAGCAATATATTGATTATCGCAGAATCACTGTATCATGATATTATCGTATCGTGAGCCATGTATCGTAATTCGTATCGTGAGGTACCCTGCGATTCCCACCCCTAGTTTACAGTAGGGCATGGACGATGAAACAACCTCGTCAGAGCCGTAATGCGGCACAGAAGTCGGGAAGTCGTGGCCTAATGGTTAGAGAGTCGGACTCATAACCCAAAGGTTGTGGGTTCGAGTCTCGTACCGGCAAGGATTGTAGGTGGGGGGAGTGAATGTACAGCACTCTTTCCCACCTTCAATACCACGACTGAGGTGCCCTTGAGCAAGGCACCAAACCCCGGGCCCCGCAGCAAAAAAATGGCTGCCCACTGCTCCGTGTTGATCAACTTTTGTGTTGTATCGTAATTAGTATCGTGAGGTACCCTGCGATTCCCACCCCTAGTTTACAGTAGGGCTGCAAATAAAAATTTTAATTTCCAATATTCATAGAATTAAAAAATATATATAAAAATCCACATTCGAATGCAAAAACGTTGCATTCAAATGTTAGGTGCGTGTCAAACAGCCTTATCAGTGGCGCATGAAATGCGATGACGATGTATATGTCATTGCTTTTTAATGTTTTTGTCAGCCTATCCAGTTGAACCCACTAGATGCGGCGATGCTGTGTTGTTCATTCAAAATACTGTGGAAAAAGAGAACATCATTGCGGAGAAGATGTTGTTTACGTCAAAAGCGAAACCAAGCCGTTCACACAGAACGCATATTTTGCACATTTTCTAGAGGGACATCTATCAGCGTTGCACTCGTGTCTCGCACAAGAGAGCCGTATGTTTAGAAAGCATGTAAAATGTCAAATTAAAGTAAGTTCAACTTTTAAAAAAGCATGTCCTTAGACTTCATGGCGGGATTTTTTTCTCATCCCACTGCATCTCATGCTTTTAAATGAAAAAAGTACTCTGTGATAGGCTTTTGTCCCTTTTTATTAAACTATGCATACATGATGCTGTTTTGTTTATAACTGTTTAAGCAACTTAATTATATTTGGCTTATAAACATTGTGCACTTTTTCACAGATAGTCATGTTATTTAATTGCTTTAATAAGTGTGCATTAGTAATATTTGGTATTAGTAATATTAGTAATATTAATACTTCCTTCTCAATATGAGCGCATACAGCAAGCCGGCATTAAAACGCTATCTTTATGGGCAAACGTGCCGCCCTCGCATTGGGGGTTCTGCAGGGAATTGGATATGTATGTTTACACGTAGTTCGGATGTCCAGATATCGGATATTGAAATCCACATTTAAAAGTGGCCCAGATCCGATGCAAAAAAATCGAATCTCGTGTTGATTTTTGTGTTTACACGTGCAACCAATTCCGATCTGTGTCAGATATTGCAAGGCAAGGCATTTTGTGCCAGTGTAAATGCAGCCTTTAAGGCAAAGTTGCCTGCATTTTTTTTTAGCGTCCTCTGCTGGCTCGACTCCCACTCACGGCAGCAGCGCAGAAACATCTCCACGGGTGTGTGTGAACGGAGAAACAGAGAGTCAGGGGCCAGGTTCAGGGTCAAACCAGGCCCCGAGGGCCAGTCCAACGCCACCCAGAGCTTCACTGATCAGTAACGGCCCTCTTCCTCCTGGGTACGTCATACAATCAATGCAATCAAAAACATCTTGATGCTGCTAAATGTCAGGATGATTGAGTGAAAATGACAACACTATTTAATAGCAAGCCTGTATGGATTTAGTCTGATATCTTTTCTTTTTGTTTCTTGGTTAATATGTGTAGCTGGGAGCAGAGAGTGGATCAGAACGGCCACGTTTACTACGTGGATCACATTGAGAAAAGAACCACATGGGAAAGACCAGAACCACTACCAGCAGGGTAACCATGGGTCTTCTTTAGAGATCACCTTATAGTTTTACAGATTCATCAGTTTGCTGCTTATATATGTTTTAATTGTGTATTGAATACAAAGAGTGAAAAGTATGTACTAATTAAATTACCTGAATAAATGCTCTTATGTAAAACATAAGATGTCAGGAAACGCTCACTGCTTTGTCACTTTACCTACTGACGTTAAACAAGCTCCCAGCCATTCGTTTTAAAACAGCGTCTGTTGATATAGCATTTATTAAGAGGACTTTTGATTCATATATTTAAAGCCTGTTTAGTTTTTGTACTTTTACTGATGCTTATTTTTAAATGCCATGTTTTTGTTTTTATTCTTTTTTTTTTTTTAAGGTTTATGTTTTCTGACCTGTGACCTTTTAGCTGAATTTTATGTATGAAAGTAACAATAAAATAATTATTTGTTTAAAATAATAATAATGATAACAATTATTGTTGTTGTTGTTTTGCTATCAGCAATCATCATCAAAAATGATCATTGTTAATTTTGAATTAATATGAAATAATAATATTAATAAGAATAACAATGACACATTTTTATATAATGACACATTAGTATTATTATTATTAAGTGTTTTTTTTTTATTCTCCGACATGTGACCACTGACCTTTTAGTTAAAATTGGTATGAAAAATAAATGCTGAACAGTTATAATTATACTGAAATGTTTATAATAATCATAATTGTTATTGTTGTTGTTGTCATCAATTATCTTCAATAAAGATTGTTCATTTTTAAATACTACTACTACTAATAATTACAATAATAAGTGTTATTATTATGATGATGATGATGGTTATTATTATTGTTATTTAAAAAGGTATTGTAAATGTAAAAATTGCGGGTGAATAAAACCCAAGGTCAGAATGTGTCCTTGATGAGCAGTTGTTTGGAGAATCTTGTGTGTGTTTTGTGGTAGCTGGGAGCGTCGCTTGGACCCGATGGGCCGTGTGTACTACGTGGATCATATAAACAGAACCACCACATGGCAGAGACCCACAGTCGAGTCGGTCCGGAACTACGAGGAGTGGCAGAACCAGCGCAGTCAGCTGCAGGGAGCCATGCAGCGCTTCAACCAGAGATTCATCTACGGAGTGAGTGAATTCATCAGGCCTGTCACGATAACAAGAGATTTTTCCCTGACCTTTTCTCTGTAAACACTATTGCTGAAAAACACACTACGCAGTCAGATGTCCGTATGCACAAAGACACAGATCCCTAAACAAGGCCATATCTGCAGATGAAACTTTGTTTGTAGAAGCATTTTTTAAATTTGAACTAGCACCTCGTGACTACACCACGTTATGTACGAGAAGCTGCAAAAGACACAGGCGCAAGTGGAATGTAAAAAACACGGTGACTTTAATTTTTAAGAAAATATAATGGGGGATATATTGCGTCACCAAACATTATTGAGGTCATGTTAGGGCTGGGCGATATAGCTAAAAAATTATATAATGTTTCATATCGTTCGGTATCGATAATTAATTAAATTTTTTATAACCTTTTTTAAAACAAAGAGAAATAGAAAAAAACATTTAAATTTAACCACTGTATTTTTAAATTAACCCAGTTTATTGAGACAAACAACTAATATTTTTTGTTTTAACAGTCAAACACAAAATAAAAATTAAACGAATATCTAATTTCTAATGTTTTATATGCAGATTAAATAGGTCTGAAGGAAACTTTTGGCTTGTCTCCCGAGGCCACAGGAGGGCGCCATGAGCAAAATAATGCAGCACATTTAAATTGCCAACGCAAGTGAAATAACTGTCTATAAAAAGAAAAACGTGCATTACGTCTAAATTAACGTAAATTGCTTAAACAATTATGAACAAAACAGCATCATGTATTTATGCATTGCTTAATACAAAGAGCCGAATCGTTCCATCATGCAGATTGCCTTTAAAAACATAAGAGACGCAGTGAAAACTTTGTGAAAACAAAGTTTTAACTTTGCATGGCTACATCTCTTGTGTGAGACGTGAGAGCAGCAGTCATATTTGTCCGTCTAGAAAATGCACTGAATATGCGTTCAGTGTGAATGGCTTGGTTTCGTTTTTAACCTAATCAAGATCTTCTCCGCATTGAGCTTCTATATTTCTCTAATATTTTGAATGCATAACACAGCAGCGGCACGTCACGTGGGCGTTGCACCGCATCTCGTGCGCCACTGATGACGCTCCCTGACCCACTCCTAACATTCAAATGCAAATGTTTCGACTAATTCGACTCGATTTTATTCACAATCTCCTCATCACAGGCAGGCACAGCACTCAATTCAGCACGTGTTCGTGTTTGTGTGTGCTGTCTGCGTCACTCCGAGCACGTGCCTATATCGTGCGCTATATCGAACATTTGTTATATCATTATCTAAGAAGGTGTACCGCCGATAAATATCGATACCGTTTTATCGCCTAGGCATATACTAGGCATGTACATATATTGCATAATAAGTCGATATATTGATTATTGCGACAGGCCTACATAAAAGAGAAAGATCAGTCAGCCAGTCAGACTCTTTTCAAGGGATTTTAAATGATTTTTAAATAACCCGAGCTGTCCTTGCTCTTCTCTTCAGCTGCAGGAACAGCTCGCGGCCACAGCTAATAAAGAGTTTGACCCTCTGGGTCCTCTGCCGCCGGGATGGGGTGAGTCACCGCTCTTTCATTTAATGCGGCATACCCTCGTAATAGAGCAGCTCACGCGGTCTTTTCTTGAACCTGTGTGTGTCTGCTGGTTTGGCCCACAGAGAAACGGACAGACAGTAATAGGAGGATGTATTTTGTTCACCATCCTACGAGATCCACACAATGGGAAGACCCTCGAACACAAGGGTGCGATGCAATCACAAACTATCCACTGCCAGTGTTATTGTATTAATTATTTATACACTTTTCTTTTTTTTTTTTATATGCAGCTTTTTAAATATTTTCTTTTTTTTTCTTTTTTACTTTTGTCATTTTTGTTAGGGTTTTTTTTTTTTCATTTCTGTTTTAGTTGTGTATATATATATTTTTTTTATTTAAGTTAAAAAAATTTAATTTTATGCACTTGTTCGGGATATTTTTAAGTTTTCATTTATTTCCATTTAGTATTTTTTAGTTAATTGCCAAAGCAACATTTCTCATTTTTGTTCAGTTTTTCATCTAATATTTATATTTTGTTTTATTTCAGCTTCATTTTAAATAACTAAATATCTTTTAATACTTTTAGTTCGCTATAATAACCCTAAATTGTCTCCTTACTATATGAATATTATTTTTTAATCATGTTAGATTTAACAGAATGAAATGTCATGCAATATTATGTTGAAATGAGCTGTTTTTGTGTGTCAGGCTGTTGAATGAGAAGCCTTTGCCGGAGGGTTGGGAGATGAGGTTCACAGTGGACGGGATTCCCTATTTTGTCGATCACAACAGGCGAACAACGACATACATCGATCCTCGTACAGGAAAATCCTCCCTGTCAGTCCTTTTAATAGCTTGATATATAAAAAGAAGGTCTTTTGTGACATTCTCAGATGCATACATTCAAAATGCCATACGTAAACAGAAATAGAAATACTTCACATAAGTTTACTGCAGCGCTTGTTTTAAATAATATTGTGTATTAATGTTTTACAGTTGTCTGTTTCTGTCTTTTTGAACCTGCAGTGAGAACGGCCCTCAGATCACATACGTACGAGACTTTAAAGCCAAAGTGCACTATTTCCGCTTCTGGTGTCAGGTAGGACCTCACATACAAGTGGCATTAATTAAAAATGCGTTCTTTTTAGTTGCTTTGACACTATTTTCATTCATCTTCAAAACTCAAAATCAAGCTTTTGTTAAAAAAACTGGCTGTTGTTCTTTCATTACGCTTGTAAATGATTACATTTTTACAGAGTCATTGTTTAAATCTTCATTGTTTGAAGTTTTATTCAGCAAAACAGAACAGAATAAATCTAGTTATTTTAACGGCTGTTAATTAACTTTTTTTTTTCATGTTTAAAATTTTTATTTTTTTAAATTCATGTATTATATATAATTAATAATCATGATGATTAGGGATGCACCAATATAGCGGCCACCATATCGGTATCGGCCGATAAATGTTTATTTTTTCTGTTATCGGTATCGGCCTGATAAGAAATTTTGGCCGATATCTTAAAGCCGATAAATAATGCATTATTTCCTTCTAACAACAATGGTTTGATAATTAATATACAATCATTAATGTTAGTATAATTAATCATTTATGATAAATGACACAACATTAATTATGCAAAATGGTTTTTAGGTGCGATAAAAGTGATTTTGTTTTGACAGTATGCTTAAGCATTTGAAGAAACAAATGCATTTATTTGAGCTGTGCTTAGAGATGAGTAACGTAAAAGGCTTATGAAAATAGTACCAAAGCAAACAAAAAAGATTTTGCATGTGTGATTTATTTTGTAATAAAATCCGTTTTTAATTCCAAAGCAACTAGCAATGCCTCAGCACATTAAGATCCACGTCAGCCGCAAAACACTGTTCGAGGACTCGTTTCAGCAGGTACATTTGACAAGTTAATTCTGCTTTATTTGTGTAGTTGTGGCATGCAGACAGAAGTGAAATGCTTGTGAATTGATTTGTTTAGATTATGAGTTGCCATCCGCAAGATCTGAGACGGAGACTGTGGGTTATTTTCCCAGGGGAGGAGGGACTTGACTATGGAGGCGTGGCCAGGTATATTGCATCATTTACAGGAAGTGATGAGTTTAGTTGCTATATGCACGCACACACACAGTATAAAATAATGTTGTGTTTCTGTCATAGGGAATGGTTCTTCCTGCTGTCTCACGAGGTCTTGAACCCCATGTACTGTCTGTTCGAGTACGCCGGCAAAGACAACTACTGCCTGCAGATTAACCCCGCCTCCTTCATCAACCCTGACCACCTCAAATACTTCAAGTTCATTGGCCGGTTCATCGCTATGGTACGACAGACCTGGACAGTGGAGACACGCTAAAGGATCTTGGTTTGAAATGCATTGAGCTCTTTCTGTTCTCTCTCACACAGGCTCTGTTTCATGGGAAGTTCATAGACACGGGCTTCTCTTTGCCTTTTTATAAGCGCATCCTGAACAAACCTCTGGCTCTGAAAGACCTGGAGTCCATCGACCCGGAGTTTTACAACTCGCTCATCTGGATCAAGTGAGAATGAGTTACAGAGATAATAAAAGTCTGATAATTAGGGATATGAATTACTAGGAAATTAAGAATCCTTATTGGTCCTAACTATGAAACGTTTTTCCATAGGGATAATAATATAGAGGAATGTGGCTTGGAGATGTATTTCTCGGTGGACAAGGAGATTTTGGGAGAAGTCACCACACATGAACTCAAACCTGATGGAGGAAACATTCAGGTGACAGAGGACAATAAAGAGGAGTATATCAGGTAAACAAATCTCACTTATACAGCACAGATAAATTACAGACAATGTTTTTCATTTCAAATAACATTTAGAATTAGTATTTCTATAATTATATATTAAATATTTAAAAAATATGAATATGTATTATACACATTTTTAATGATAAATTAGTTATAAATATTATACATAATAAATATTTATATTATATTATAATAATTTAAAATATTTTGTAGATTTACAAAGTTAGCTGCTTTTTATATTTATATATATATATATATATATATATATATATATATTTACTTTTATTATATATAATAATGACATAATATATAATTAT